GAGCCTATGGGGAGGGAGTTGTGGAGATGGCCTCCAAGCTCACCCTTCTGCTCTCCTGTAGCTGGCGACCGTCTGTCAGAGAAGGAGACAGAGGACCTGATGGCCTGGATGAGAAACGCGCTAGGGTCCCGTGTCACCAACGTGAAGGTGAGGCCTCCCAAAGACGGGCCACCACCCAACCACCATGGCCCTTGGTGACTGCACAGCTGGCCAGCCTGCCGGCTCTGGTTGCTGCTGCTCCTGCATGTGTGCGCTCGTGAGCACGTAGCCACATGTGCCCGGGGAGTTACTGAGGTCGGGCGGGCAAGCTTGGCTTCGCCTCCACTTTGTAGAGCAGTTGGAATGAAGAAAGTGGAAGGTGAGCTGCTGAGGGCCTGGTGGGCAGGCAGAAGCAGAGAGGAGGTGTCCCCAGTTGGCCTCCCCAGGGCCATCCTCGTCCAGGCCTAGAGGAGCTGCAGTGGCTGAGGACACAAGGGCGTACGGTCCAGCTTGGGTTCTCAGTGGGGGTTCTGGGTAGGCTTTAATGAGCTAGGAACCCACTGATCCAGCTCTGAGCTGCAAGAGAAAAGACAGTCACCAGGGAACAGGTGTCACTGGCTGAGGGACATGTTCAGGAGTGGCCCCAAAGGGACAGGCAGGTGTGCAGGGTAGGGAAGGCTGAGAGCAGAGGAGGGCAGACCTGGGGGCTCCATGGGAGGTAGCAGTGGGTCTCTGAGGGAGGCGAGGGCTTCCTGGCAGGGAGCAAGGTGTGTGGCTGGGGTTTCTCTATGTAACACACATATCGTGTCCATGCTTTACAGCAGTGACTCATTTAAGGTGGCCTAGGAGGTAGGTAGAATTCTCGTCCGTATCCTATGAAGGAAACAGGCAGAGTGCTTCCGCAGGTCAGGAAGTCGTGGAGCTGGATCCTTACTGTGCTGCCGGGAAGGGGGCAGCCATGGGCCCAGCAGGCCCAGGAGAGTCTCTGGCGTAAGTCAGGAGGCCTGAAGCCTGTGGGGCTCGGTGAGAAAAGGTGTATTTGATGAAGTAAAGGCCAGAGGGAGCCACAGGGAGCGGTGGGTGAGAGCACCGTCTGCAGTAAAGACGGACACAAGATTGAGGAAGAGGCTGGGCCAGGGGAAATGGGGTGGCCAGTCCTGGCGGGTCTTCAGACAGTTGCTGTAGGACCTGGAAGTGGACCCTGTGAAGCAGAGAAGTGCAGATAACACCAGGCAAGATGGACCTTGGATGGTAACTGATAGGTTAGAAATTGGTAGCTTTGGAGTGTAGAAGAGGAGGGAGTTCCCAAGCAGGGTACGATTCGTTAGCAGGTGATTGGGAGGGAGAGAGGGAGGGAGGAGCACTGCTGGTTGAGGGTATGTCCCTGGAGACCTGCGTTCTCCTGTCTTGTCATTTGGGGAAGCTTTATACCTGGTCAAGACCCTGCCAGGGCCCCTGTCACCCCCGGCCTTGCTTGCAGGTGACTCCTCGGCTGGACACCCACCCTGCTATGATCACGGTGCTGGAGATGGGGGCCGCCCGGCACTTCCTGCGCATGCAGCAGCTGGCCAAGACCCAGGAGGAGCGTGCTCAGCTGCTGCAGCCCACGCTGGAGATCAACCCCAGGTAAGGCTGCTGGCTCCAGGCCTCTTGGGCCCAGGGCCCTTGATGCCCAGGGAATGGGCATGCTCATTTCTAACCTGCCAGGTAATCTTTTAAAATTGTATGTGAGTGTGTGTTCTTTTATTTATAACACATAGAAAGTGCATAAAACTTTTGGACAGTTTGATAAATGTTTATATAAACACTCGTGTAATTGAACTGTATTAAACTATACCTATGTGACATTTAAAAAAACTGAACCTTGCCGACACCCAGACACTCCTGTTTTCCTCCTACTTGAATTCTGTCCCGCTCTCCAGGGAGAACCACAGTCGTGATTTCTGTGTCAGTCACTTCCTCACTGTGCTTTATGGTTTTTCAGCTACTTGTGCGTCATTACACACAAGCTCAGTTCTGCCTGTTTCTGAACTTCACGTGAATGGACCCCTGTGCACAGGTTCCCTTTGAAGCCTGCCTTTCTTCTCTTGGCGTGTGATCAGATGTATTCATCTGTGGGGGTGACTATAGTTTGTTCTTGTTCACAGCTGAATCACAGGGTATGAATCTACTCAGCACAATTATTTATTCTATTTTGATAGACATTTGGGTAGTTTCCATTTGGAGGCTGTTGGGAACACATTGCTCTGAACATTCTTGTCCCCCGTCTGGTGCTGCACATGTGTTTCTCCGGGATGGGTGCCCAGGCGTGAAAGCACCTTATCCTCAGCTGGGCTGAGTAAGGCCCACTGCTTCCAGAGGGCAGAGCATGGGAACCCAGGTCCCTGCAAGTTAGAAGGCTACTGTTCTTTTTTCTGTTGGGCTTTAAAAAAAAAAAATTGATTGGTAGTTCTTTATATATACTTTAACAGTTGCAGATATCTTTTCTGTCTTTTCACCTGTCTTTTAAAGAGAATTTCTTAATTTTAATGTAGTCAAATGTATATACATTTGTTAGAGATTTCTTAAGACCCCAAAAAGCATCTATTCCAGACATGAGTTTCTTCTCCTGCATGTCCTTCTAAAAGCTGTATAGTTCTGCCCTTTCATGTTGGTTGAGCCCATCTCTAACTGGCCTGTCTGGGATTGGGGGCTAAGGGGGGTTCTAGTTTCATCTTATTCCATGTGAACACCCTGTTGCCCACACCGTTAACTGTGCTGCCTTCTCAGATGAGTATCTCTTGGAAACTTATGTTTTCTTTAGAGTTCTTGTACATTTTTTATAGTTATTTGATGTGTCTTTATTGGATATTTTGAAATTTCATTTTCTAACTGTTGTATATGGAGACAGTTTCTTTTTTGGAAATTGACTGTATACAGCAGTAGTTTTTTACATGAAGTTACATGAACAAGTTACCAAAAACGCTAGAAAATCCATAGTCTCACCCCCACCACAGTCACTGTACCCTATTTGGTATATTTTCTTTTGGACTTTCGTCTTATTGTGGGTTTTGGTTTTTTTATGTAGTACATGCCTAATTTTTTTATTCATCACCTATAAATATTTTTCCATGTTGCTTTAGAACCATTAATTTACTTAAAACTACTGGGGAGTAGGGGGAAGTGCCTTTTCCAGTTTCTGAGCCAAATTACTAGTAACACAATTACTGGGTGAAAAGATCTGAATTGGCTCATGGCTGGCCACAAAGAGCGTTGGACGCCTCTCAAAGGAGCTGTCCTGGTTGGCAGGTTGGCATAATGGGTGCAGGCCTGTGTAATGGGTGCACAGTTCCCAGCTGTGAGTCCCCAATAGAGATGGACGCTGACTGGACAACCCGTTGCCTTAACTAGTTCTGACACAGAAGCAGTTTTGTAAGATAGCTGTGCAGAGTGCTCGTTTCTGTTGCCAAAAGACTCTTATTTTACAGATTTGCTTTAAAATTTGTTAATATATTCTTTCGGTTGAGAATTCTAAAGAACTAAGGGAGTTCACGGTGAACTCCCCGCCCCCCCCCATCCCCAGTTTCCTCACGTATCTTCGGAGACACTGTGTGGGGCCTCCTCTGGTACACTTGCTGTGCAGTGTGCTCACCTTGCTTTGTAAAGTGTTTGCTACTCTGAACAGCCCTGTGAGGGGAGGGAATCATGTCGTCTCAGACAGGGACCAAAGACACTCCTGCTGTCCTCTAACCTTTCCCCAGCGCCTTCAGTTTTATCCAACATCAACTTTTGCCGTTCTCTTAAAATTATACCTTATAATTTTGATGTATGTTTCCCACTGTATTTTTTCCTGTGCAGAAAATGTTTTTTTGTAGTCAGTTATTCTTTTCTTCTGACTTCTGGGTTTGTATTTTGTTTAAAAAGGCTTTCCCCTTCCGAGATTATAAAATACTTCTTCCCTGTTTTCTTCGAGTATTATACTTCTTTGCTTTTAATTTTTACATTTAATCTTTGATCCCTCTGGAAATTAATCACATCAGAATCCAACTTGTTTCCTGGGTGCGGCCCAGTTATCCTGTCTTTATGAGGTACTAACAAAATTCCTATATGAATTGGGCCATTTATACATTGTCCACTTTGTTGCACTGAGCTGTTACCTTTTCATTTTCCAGAACTGTTTAATTACTGGAGCTTTATGTTTTAACTGGGACTTCCTCCTCTAACTGCTCTTCCATGTTTACTTTATAAATTTTATACTAGATTTTTTAGATTAAAGGAATCCTATTAAATAAGGAAAGTTTCACTTCTATTTATGGTCCACTTATCCAAGAACTATAACATATGTCTTTTCATATATTAAACTCATCTTTCTTTACCTTAGTAGTGTTTCCTTTATATCAATTTTAGTATCAAAATTTTTGCTGGGTTTTCTGGGTATATAATCTGTAATTGATCATTATGGGCTTTATTTTTTATACTGGACCTATTACCCTTTTTTGCATGTTCTGATAACCCCAACATTTCAGAAAAGTCACTGGAGCACAAAGTTAGAGGCTGTGTGTGCATCCCCAGCCCTGAGCTAATAACTTCTGGTGGTTTCTGTGTTCAGGCACACACTCATCAAGAAGCTCAGTCAGCTGAGAGATGGCGAGCCTGACCTGGCCCAGCTGCTGGTGGATCAGGTGAGTCTGCTGGAGGAATGCGAACAGTAAACTGAGGCATGGGGCTGTCAGCTTCAGGAGGCTCTCTCTTCCTTTCTTCTCTCTCTTTGAGGTCCCTGGGTTGGGATCAGGCCTCGCTCACCCTCCCACTAACAACGAGGGTGCTGCCTTGCCTTTCAGATCTACGAGAATGCCATGATCACAGCGGGGCTGGTCGACGACCCCCGACCCATGGTCAGCCGCCTGAACCACCTGCTCATCAAGGCCCTGGACCGACACTGACAGCTGTGAAAGCCCCAGGTCCTCCTGCCCAGGGTTAGGGTGGGGGGGTGGTGGTGGATGGGGACGATGACAAAGGACTGGATGCTGCCAATGAGAACACCTACTTTTGAGCTTTATTCACTTAAAATGTATTCTTAGAGTTTTTGTCCAGACTGGGGTGCTCTGGTGACACAACCTCCAAGCTTACAATGGAAGCGGGTACAGTGAGGAAAAGCCTACCTTCCTCTAATTCCAGCTGCCACGGTGGTGGGGAGGGGCAGGAGCACTCAGGACCAGGCACTGGTTTCCTAAACCTAAACTGGTTTCCCTAGCCTTTGGCTGTGTCGTCTCAGTTCTTGGCGACAGGCTGCAGAGCGGAGGTCGCTGGCCAGGCCCCACTCACGTCAGGCTCTCTTCAGCATCACCTCCACCGGGTAATGGTCGCTGATGGCTAGGGCCTGTGGGGAGACAGCCATGAGCACAGGGACACCCAGACATCTAGTACTCTGCACTCATGCTCCTGAGGCCAGTCGGGATTTGGGCCTGGGAAAAGGAGACCAAGAGGCACCCAGGGCCACAGACAAGTGGCTCTTTCAAGTCAATGAAAAAAGCAGTGGGTCCAGGCCTATGTTCCTGTGTCCCAGGCCCCTATTAGAGCTACGTGACCAGGACACTTACCATCTGGTCACTCAATCCGTATGCAGCTTGGAAGTCAAAGGGAGCAGCTGAGTTGGGAACCACAGCATCTTGGAGCAGAGGTCCTGCAACCACGATCCTGCAGCATCAGACACAAGAGAAGGTCCCCTTCAGCCCACTGTCTAGCTCTGTGCACTTACACCTCAGATCCCAGCATGTCCCCGATCCCAGCATGTCCCCCCAGCTCCTCTTGGTATGGTAAATGTCACACAGTTCCACTGTTCCCCAACTGCTCTCAAATGTTCCCATGGGGCCAGTCGGGTCCTGGCTGTCACCCCAACACTGAGCTGAGCAACCTGGGCCCCAAACTGCACACCACTGACCAACCTACATACCCCCCAGTGAGTGTTATCCCTAAATGTGCTTCACCCCCAAACTAAGAAATGCTGCTCCTTTCATTCCATTTCCTAAGTGGACTGAGTGAAGCTCAGGAGGGTGCATGTCACAGGGCTTGGGAACCATTTCTGAAGCTGGTCATGGAGGCTCCCTCATCCCTGCCTGGGGGCTCAGTGTGGGCCCAGGCCCCGCTCACCTGTCGTAGGCACAGTGCGTGGATGTAACGGTGGTGTCGGCAGTGTCAGGAATCAGCCACTGGAAGGGGGGGCTCCTGCGCAGGCGGATGGATGACCACTGCGAGGGGGTCACGTAGCTGCAGCCAGCATTGAAATCACCCATCAATATGATGTCCTACCAGGAGACACACACTGGTTGGCCTGGGGCAGAAGGGGGGCCCCAGAGCCCAAGGCTGGGGGTGGGGGTTGCCTCACCTCCAAGTCCCACTTCTGCCAGACATCCAGGTAGACATCATAGAGAGAGTCGATCTCAGCCACCGCATCCGATGGGGCCGCATGCAGGGGAACAATGGCAAACTCCTTGATCTCTGTGGAAACAGGAGTCATACTGAGCCGGTGTGGGCTGGGCTCAGCCAGGAGTTGGGCTGTGGTGGAGGACACATGAGCCAGTCTTCGAGGGTGGACGTTTTCCTAAGTAACTCCAATGTAAGACCAAAGCACAAAGGGTGTGGGCTGCAGCACGAGACAGCTTTCCAGGTGTCTTGGGAAGGGCTGGGCGGGGCACTCACGTGTGAAGGGGGAGGAGAACTTGACCACAGCTGGCTCTCGGCTGAAGCTGTCATTCCCACAGGGCTCACAGCCATCATCGTACTGGTAGCTGTCCAGCACGGAAACCTGGTCGGGTCTGCAGAAGGCCGGGCCAGAGGGCAGTTAGCCTTGGGCCAGGGTGCCAGCTTGTCTTGGTAAAGTCACTTTCTGCCACGTCCAGGTGGGCAGGGGCCCGGCCTTAGCACCGCACAGACCCACTGGCCTGGAGCTCCTGCCATGTCCCCCTGCCTCTGCACAGGCTGTGAGGCCAGCTCAGAGCCCTGCTCTGTGGCCCCAGTTCTCGCCCCCACACCCGGAGGGGAGGGGCTCACAGGCTCTCTAGACCACACCCCAGCCTCCTGTCGGCACCCTCTGAGGAGGTGACCCAATCTACCTGAACAGGAAGAGGTAGCGCTCCTTATAGCTGTTGCGTCCCAGCGGCTCACTGACCACAAAGTGATAGGTGTTTGGGTCATCCCTGGATTGAGGAAACAAATGTCGCGGTCAGGGTGGGGGGCAGTCGGTGGGGACCCTCCTGCCACCTATATACATCTATAGCAGGGTTCCTGCCCACATCCCTATCTCTGGGGCCTGGCTGAAGTGGCATACCCTCTCCCATCCACGCCTCCCGGGACCGCACTGTCACCCACTGGTTGAGTTTGTCCAGCAGCCTCCCTACGGCCGTCAGGTGGTTGTCTCTGACCTCCTGGATGAGGGCGATATCATAGCGACTCAGGATCTGGGGACAAGGCCACAGTACTGCTAAGCGGGGCAGGCTGGGTGGAGACTGAGGCATCCGAGCCTGCCTGCTGTGAATCACAGGGCCGACCTGCTCCTCCCAGACACCTTCCTGTCACAGCTTGGCCTGGGACTTGCCTGGGACGTGCCAGACATCCCACCACCTCCAGCCGTGGTGGACGGCACAGCAGTGACAAGGACCTGTCCCCTTGACAGACAGGTGGGCTGAGACCAGAGGCTTTCAATCCCCTCCCCCGATCACCACCACTGCCGATCACCCTCAGGACTGACCACTGGCCCAGGGTTCCCAGGGCCTGTTAGAGGGCCCTCCCCTTCCCCCACCCTGAGTCCCCTGAGGACAGGCCAGCCTGGATTTACCTGTACAATGTAGTTGGAGAGGGTAGCATTGGACATCTTGGTCTCCCCGAAAGTCTGGATGTTGAAGGCTGCTATTCTCAGGGACAGGGTCTGCTGCAGCAGGCCAGCCAGGGTGAGTAGCACCCCCATCAGCCTGGCACCCCTCATTCTGGATGAGGAGAAATGTTCACATGTGGGCCTGAGGTTGGCAGACTCAGCACTCTGGCCTCCCTGAGTCCAGCTGCGCAGAACTGGTAGAGCCCAAGGCTGAGTAAACCCTGTCTTTGTGGGCTATGCCGAGCAGGCCAGGGTGAGCCTCTGAGCCCTCTCACCAGCATGCAGAGAGCCAGACACCAAGCGCCAAGTAACAGGCGCTGGATCTTCTCACTCCTCACCTGCCAGCAGATGAGCCCCTGTGAGGGTCGCCAGCCTAGGAAGCCCCTGACACTGTGGGTGGGGCACCAGCTCACCGCCCTCCCCGCTCCAGCCGCCCTCCCCTCTGGGATTGGCCAGGGCTCTTCCCAGGGTGGCCACGGTCACCAAGAGGGACTCCACGGGGCTTATGGGCCTGGTACCCACCTTCCACAGGCCACGGGTCACACAGCCCTTGGGGCACCAGGCACACTCACCTGAAACTTGACTTTCACAAAGACAACAGGAATTCTGCCAAGAATCAAGAATTGATACTCTTCGGTACCAATTTTCTCCTTTCACTGCTTTAAGAAAAAAATTCACAAAGTGTTAAGAAACACAACTGTGAGCTGCTGCAGCTCCAAATCCTCACACAGGGAATGTTCGTCCCACCTGGGGTTTTAAAGGTTTAGGCAGCTGTGACCTTTCCCAGGGCATCACCTGGAGGACACAGAACAATAGTGCTGCCTGTGGGGCTTTCCTAGCAGGTGGGTAGCTGGCATGTGTTTATTTCAAAAGGTACAGGTCCTTCCTGCTGTAAAGAGCACCTGATGTTTGCCCTTGGTTTTAAAAAGTAAAAAAAAAAAAAACAAAACAAAAAAAACAGCCAAAGGCTCTGTGTCCTTTGCACAAGTTGCTCTCCCAGGGGTGGGGAGCAGATGCACTGGAGGGCAGGGTCCTGGCTACTCCTGGCTGCAGGACTTGAGGTGACCTTGGAGCTAGCAGCCAAAGCCAGACATTCCATGTTGCAAATGGAGCCCATGGTGGCTGCTCTCCCAGGACCCCATCTCTCACCAACTCCAACCCCTGCTTCCTAATCCTTCAGTTGTGACGGCTGCAAGCACCCTGGCCAGGAGTTGGGGCTCTCAACAGGGCGCACATGAGATGCAGCATTGGGGGCTGCAGGGCTGCGGGCACCAGGGAGGGGCAGGGGCTGCAGAGTCCACCTCACTTGCCAGCAAGGCAGCAGGAAACCTTCCTGTGGAGAGCCTGTGCATTTCACGCACAGGTGACAGGAGTGGCTGGGTCATAAGGACACTGTCAGGCAGCAGCTGAGGGTCCATGCCAGGCCATGGGTCCAGTCATTTCATTTGGAATCCTTGGCTTTCCCATTTATGTTCATTACCTGTGGCTGCTGTAACAAGTCAGCACAAACTTGGTGGCTTGAAACTACAGAAACTTATTTAATAATCTTAGAGTCCAGAGTCCAAAATCCATTTCACTGAGCTGAAACAAGGTGTGGCAGGGCTGCACACGCTCTGGAGGTGCTGGGGGAGACCCTTCCTGCCTCTTCAGCTTCTGGAGGCTCCGGGTGTTCCTTCGCTTATGGCTGCATCACTTCAGTCTCTGCCTCCATCATTATATTGCCTTCTCTTCTGTGTCGGTTCTCTCCCCTCAAAGATATAGGTTATTGAGTTTAGGGTCCTCCCGGATAATCCAGGCCTGTCTCCCCATCTTGAGATCCTTTTTTGCCGTGTGAAGTTAATAGTTTGCAGGGATTAAGACATGGAGATATTTTGGGGGGTATTATTCAGCCCATCACCCTATCCATGGGGGCTCTGCCCCATTTCGGGGTTGGAGGTTGTGGTCTCCAAGGACAGCCGTGCAACTGGGAAGGCTGGGTCCCTTCCTGGAAAGGAAGGGTCTTGAAGTATAAAGGGGAGTGGAGGGCTACGGGGGCCTGGGGGTCAGGGAGCAGGAGGGGGCCTTAGGGGAAAAGTCAGCAGGAGCCAAGGTCAAAATCAAAGTGCCATGGATGTGGTCAGCTGATCATGAAGTAGGAGGACACAGAGGGATTAAAAACAACTCAGAAAGTAAACCAACTTCAACAAGACCAGAACCCCCTGAAGTAATGAGAACATGCTGACGGACAGCTCCAGCAGTCAGTAGGAATGCCAGTCAGCTCGTGTGTACCCTGATATGGCATCTACAACATGGGGTCATGTGGCCTGGCCCTCAAGCTGCCAGAAGCCCCACTGCAGCCTTTTGCAAAGGTTTGATTGCTGACTCTCCTGTTTAAAATCCCCGAGGCTTCAAGTGTGTCAAAATCCAGACCCCGACCACCAGGCAAGACCATCAATGTATTCAGTGTAGGTGCCTTGACACTTTTCTTCCATAGGTATCTTTTCTGGACACACAGTTGCCAGACCTTTTGAGGGGAGCATGAGAGCAAACCAGTAGGCAGCAAAGCCATGGCTCACACAGAAGACACCCAGACCCCCCAGTTTTCAGCATGTGGGACACGGGCACCTGTTTGTTGGCACCCCTGTCCCCCTCTCAACCAAATGCTGCCCCTTCTCTGGGAGGTGCCCTCCCTCCCCAACCTGTCAGAAGAAAGGTCCCAACGGTGGCCTCATTTGCACAAAGTGCCAAGCTCTACTGCCATATTGGCTGCTCTAAGTCGGGCCCACAAGAGAGGCAGGCAGCACAGCCGGGAAGACCCTGGCCCAGGAGTCAGGGATTTGGGGCCCAGACCAGGCTCACCCACTGCACCTTCAACCACTTTGAACCTCAATATCTTCATCTATAAAATGGGGATAAAACTGGATAAAACTGTCACTGCTTTCCTCCTAGGTTTGTCTTAAGGATCAACAGACATAACATTATTCTACAGAAGAATCATTTCACATCTTAAAAATTCATCTTATCCCTAAGACTAGTAACCTTCTCAGCTGTTATATTTCCATCACCCTTTTAACTTTCCCTCATGGACCTCTTTTCCATTTGTATCAGTCAGCTGTTGCTGTGTAACAAGCAACCCCAGGATTCAATATGTATGGCAGTATGCATTTTTTTTCTCATGCTCACAGGTCTGTAGGTTAGCTGGGAGGGCTCTGCTCCCTGGGCCTCCCTCTGGGTGGGGGTTAGGCACTGGGCTGAAGGGGCTGCAGCTAGCATATATGCTCTTCTAACATGGTGGAAGGTGGAAACTTCCAGAGAGGTGAACAGAAATACATGATGCCTCCAGAAGCCTAGGCTCAAAATCTGCATGATGCCACTTCTGCCCATATTCTTTTGGTCTTAGCAAGTGACAGGGCCAAACCCAACACCAATGGCAGAGTCAGGGGTACACTCCTCCCGCGCCAGGCTCCACAGTGCAGACAGAATGGGTGCCAGGGAAGGGAGGAAGCCCAGTGTTGCTGGCATTTTTCAATATCACATTAGCAGGGAAATGGGTGCAGACGGCAGACCACTTTCTCTGATCAGGGTGAGCTATTTTTACATCAACCCCGAAAGTCTGCCACACTCTTTAGTTAAACTAAACCTGTTCAGATACAGGAAGGGGAAATGACGCATCACACCGAAGTAATTAAGTCGGGGTCAGGTCTTGAGTTCTGAGGCATTTTAAATCAAAGAATAGGGCTTCCCTGATGGCACAGTGGTTAAGAATCCGCCTGCCAATGCAGGCGACACGAGTTTGAGCCCTGGTTCAGGAAGATTCCACATGCCATGGAGCAACTAAGCCCGTGCGCCACAACTACTGAGCCTGTGCTCTAGGGCCCGCGAGCCACAACTACTGAAGCTCACACGCCTAGAGCCCATGCTCCGCAACAAGAGAAGCCACCACAATGAGAAGTCCGCACACCACAACAAAGAGTATCCCCCATTAGCTGCAACTAGAGAAAGCCTGCGCACAGCAACAAAGACCCAACTCAGCCATAAATAAATTTATAAAAAATAAATAAAATCAAAGGATAAAGAGAAAATCCTCTAAGCACTGAAGCTGGGAACACGATAGCTTCAAAGGGACATTTGCCATGTGCAGGCTGTTGGGCTGTGAGGGCAACAGTGAGTGCCACAAGACCCAGTGAGCCATCCCAAAGAATTGCTGGGGGTGGGGGGGGGGACTTGCACACCAACATGTGGCCCAGGACAGAGGATGTCCACAGACCCAGAGGGAAAAGGGCACAGAGCTGCAGTTTCTAAACAATGCACTGAATAACCCCCAGCCCACAGTGAACTTGCAGGCACAGCAGGATGCCTTTTACTTTTGAGGAAAATGGTGATACTAAACATCTCTGAACACTTCATGGTTTCAACATCATATCTTGCTACACTCCTTTCCACTATTTCATGTCTGCAAAGCTAGGTTTCTGGCAGTTATTGAAAAAGCAATTACTGTGTAAGAATCAATGTGAAAAAAGCAACAAGGGTGGCAGTGTCCAATCTGATTCCAAGATTCAAGAAGAGCCGATAGGCACACGTTCCACCCATAAATAATTACAGTTACTTAAAAATGAAATGAAAAAAAATTTAAGTTTACATTATTTTCCAAATATCTACTGTAAGTTGCTAGGACGTCAATACTTAACTTGTTTGGACTTATGTATTTAAAAATGGAACTGTTAGGTACTTCTTTTGGCCTATAAGTCCCTTAAAATAATTACTGAACCTTAACTAGAAGTGCTCTGAACTGCGAGTTTGGGAACCTCTAGATCTGACATACACAGTGGGTATGCCCCCCTCCCACTATGGCCCTGCCTCCACCCAGATGCTCAGATACCTGAGGCTCATTTGGGTCCCTGTTTTCTCTCAGCCCCACCCCAAATGCATCCTGAGTCTACAGTCCCCTCTGGTTTTGCAGCTGCGACACCTGTCCTTTGCTGAACACAAGCAAATCTGCCCATTGGTCTCCCTGCTCCCAGAAACTCTCCCCACAATCCCAGTATCCACACAGCATGCAGCACATCTTGTAAATGTGCAATCAGATCACCTTTTTCTCCTGCTTAAAATCTGTCATCGGGGGACTTCCCTGGTGGTCCAGTGGCTAAGACTCCATGCTCTCAATGCAAGGGGCCTGGGTTCGATCCCTGGTCAGGGAGCTAGATCCCACATGCCACAATTAAGTTCCTGTGTGCCGCAGCTAAGACCCAATGCAGCCAAACAAACAAATAATTTTTTTAAAAAATCTATCATTGGTTTCTCATTGTCCTTATGAGGAAAGCCAGGGCCTACCAGGGCTTGTGCAATGCCAGCTGAGGGCGCTGCTCTGCACGCAGAGCTACCCACCCTGTCATTCCAGTTCAGCTCACCATCACCTCTTCAGGGAGGCTGCCCTCTCCCCAACCCAACCCTCCCACCAGCGTGGTCCCAATGTCATCTTTTCCATGACCCTTATCACTTGTTTTCCTTGTTTTAGTGTTTGCTCTTACTTGCTTACACCGGTTGAAGGCAGCCTCTGGACTAGAACACAATCTGCACAGGAGCAGGGACCTTGTCTATCTCGTCCATGAAACTGACCAGGCCTAAAACAATGCCTGGAAGGTAGAAGGCTCTGTGCTCACCTGTTCCTCACCTCCTGTCCTGCAACCTCCCATGTGAGAGAACGTCCCTTCCTCATGGACTCTCCAGAGAGAACCCAGCATGGTTTCCTCTCCTGAAGCACAGGAGACACTGCAGGGTGTCCAAGTTGCTTCTGGACACTTGGCCTGAGCTGACCAGAAGCTCCCAGGAGCCAGTGGCTGTTGTGTCCTCCCTCACCCAGATTTGACCTGGATTCCTCCTCTCCCCTCAAAAGCGGTTTTTGCTGGCCCCAAGACAGAGCATTTTAGAGGACAAAGGGGCTTCCATCTTTTACTTGAGATAAAAGGCCAATGTCTTTGCTGTGACATTGCTTTAATCCATGTTAGACAGCCTGTGCAGGTCAGCAGTCATCTCTCAGCACAGCCACTGGCCTTGGCCCATGACCCCACCTTAGCTCACCATCCCTCTTGAATTTATTTCTGTTCATTATAAGGAACTCATTAACCCAGGATGGAAAATTTCTCAGAACATGCCTGTGAACTGCTACAATCCACAACAGTTTCAAGGTCAAGCTCAGCACAGCCCCGACCCTGCTCCCTCACCCCCAGTTACGCCAGTGCCCATCATGTCAGTGGAACAGGCAGCACTCGGGTTCCATGGTCCACGAGCCTGAGCAGCAATGTGCACGCCCCTTGCAAATCACAGACAAGCCTCCCTTGGTTCCCCGTCCCACCAAAGGCATTTTCTAAGGTTTATGTTGGAGAGATTAGCATACCTTTAGCCTGAGCCCATGAGCACAAAGTTCCTGTTGCCTGAGACCCTTGAAGATTTCACTAGAGTCATGGAGCTCAATGACTAGACTGCCAATGTGCTGGTAATGTTTCCAACAAGGCTGCAATGGAGAACGATCCCCAAATTCCCAAGCCCCCTCAGTCTCTCCCAAGTACAAAGAGCCTCCTCAGCAGGCCCCCCCGCCACTGCCCAACGGGTTTACAGAAGGGCTCAGAGGGCCCAGGACAAGGAAGCTCACAGGATAGTGCGAGCTGGTCATGGTGGGGTTTGCAGAGATATTTTCTATTGATCTATCTTCCAGTTCACTAGTCCTTTCTTCAGCTGTCTCTCATCTACTTTTAAATCCACCTACTGAATTTTAAATTTCAGTTATTGCACTTTGAATTTTCATTTAATCTTTTATGAATTCTAATTCTCTGTGAAACTCCCCACCTCACCTATTTCAATATGTTAGTCAGTTATTTTAAAGTCCATGTCTGCTAACTCCAATATCTTATCTCCTGTGGGTCTGTCACTCTTCCCCCCCACTCCCCCCCATCCTGTTTCTCAGTGTACCCAGTAACTTGACAGAGTGTCAGGCACTGTGTGTGACAGATGGTTGAGGATCAGGATGGTGTCTCCCTCCAGGGTGGGCAGCAGAGGGGAAGGCCACCTCAAGCCACTCCAGGGCTCAGCTAACGCTAAACTCATTCTACAGTCCTTGTGAAGTCCAATCTACCTGTGGTCCCCAAAGGTCCAAGCTGAGAGCCTGGTACTTCTTAGGGCCATTCCTCCTTGGCAGGCTCTGAACTCCTCCCTAGCATCATGAAACTGCCAAAAAGCCAGCTGTGCTTTTTTAGCCACTTTCTGCTTCTCTGGCCTCCTTCCTCTCAGGGATCTTGGCCCTCAGGTTCCACTGCCTCAGCAGGCCCAAACCCCCAGCTCAGTCTCCCCAGTCCCGCAAGGTTACGCAGAGCTCCTCTGGCTTCTCTGCCTCTGGGCAGCTGCTCCTGCCCAGCCCCAAAGGGAGAAGCCAGTGGAGGAAATAGGACTCACCTCTTCAAGCTCCCCTCTGAGTTGCAGGTGCTGGGGTAGTGCTCCAGTCCTACAAGCAGATGCTTTCTGAATTATGGTCAGTTCCTTGAGTCCTCATCAGGCACTGGTCTGCCGTAAGCTACTCCATTGCCAGAAGCAGTCTGTTTTCATTACCTGGAATGAGTCACTGAAGCAGAGCGCTGGAGAGGATACGGTTGATAACTAGGCAAGCTGGTCCAACTAGCAGGCCGTGTGGACATCTCTGAGCTATAAATGTCCTGTGCAGAGGTATTCCACCCAATAAGAGGCGGCCAGAAGGGAAACAGACAATCCCTTCCTGCCCCACCAAGAGTCTCTGGGACTGAAGATCTCCATATCCTGTCTGAAACCCACAGCATTTGTTCTCATCAGCCCACTCCTAAAAGTGAAGATGGCGTAGTGCCAGGACATAGCAATTCTATATTCCATAAATTGTTCTACAGCTCCTCAGAGAATGGAGCATCTGTCCTCAGCTCAGGTTTACTATCTCAATCCTAGAGAAGAAGCCTTGGGGCCTGCAGACTGCCAGCTCCAGGCCTGTTTCCTTTCTGGGGACTCTGCACCCTTAGCCAGATGGGCAATGCTGGTTTCTGAGAACTGTAAGTACCTGCTGTGCTTCCTGCCCAGGACCCGACACGTGGCTTATCTATAGACACTATAGTTTATTTCACATTGACAGTTTCAACAATGTTTCCCAAAGGGGATCCTGCCTCAGGGCCTTTGCACTGTTCTACCTGAGCACTCTGCCTCCAGATGGCTACATGGTTTGTCCCTCCCTTGACTTGAGCCTCTGCCCAGATGTCACCCTACCATAGCATCCTACTTAGTAGCAGGTTTTGTCCCACTGTTCTATCTCCTTTACCCTGCTTATTTTTTCTTGCCCAACAATCACATCTAACATACAATGTATGGTCAGTCTCATCCCACTGGACTTATTAAGTCCCACAAGAGCTGGGGCTTATGTAGCAGCACCTAAACAAGGCCTGACCCATAGCAGGTGCTCACCAACTACTTGCTGAATGAAAAGATGAATGTCAGGCAGGGACTTTCTTGGCAGAACAATGTCTTTAGATGCTCCAACCTCTTCAGCTGCTCTGGTTGTGCCCATTTAAGTGTGAGCATCTCACATAAGAGGAGCCCGACTTGGTCCTCCCTGATGACTAAGTAAAGGAACAGGCTTCTGCCACTGGCCCAGGCTCCTCAGCCTCCACATCCCAAATCCTGGTGGGATGGAGACACGTAACCAAGAGTGATAAGGGAGCACCAAAGTTACAGCTCCTAACAGGAGGGGAGCAGAGGGAAGGAGGCTTCCCGTGGGGTAAGTGGCCGTCAGAACGATACTCAGGTAAAGCGCAGCCAGATAGCAGAGAGCTCAGAACAACTCTGCCCTGTCATGGAATTCCCAGGCAAAGGCTGAGGATTGACTCTAGAGAGGAAGTGGTACGGGCCCATCTCCATGGAGAGGAGGGGGCTGCCCATGCCTGAGCCGGAGCCCAGCAGGACTCTCACAAGGATCTATGGCCCCAGGGGCCGATGCCCGTGTATGGTACAGCCCCATGATGCAGTAGCCACCACAGCTCTCACCACAGACCCTCAGACCTGAGTCCCAAGTGCAGTGTGTCCTTCCAACTCTGCCTACTCCTTCCTGGATGAGTAGCTAGGGAAGGCTGGTACCATGTCTTCCCCACCTCCCCTGGTCACCGTGCCTACTAGTCATCAGCCTCTGCTCACCCTCCATTATCTAAGCATCTCTGGACCTCAGAGTATAGGACATTGTGCAATGTGGCCCCACCAGTGAGGAGAAGACCACAGTCCCTGAGCTCCCCTGGGTACTTCTCCCTGCCCCCCACTACCATGGGAAGCTGTGAGCTGTAATGTTCCTATAACTCAGTTTCTCTTGGGGGTGGGGACACGTGCAGTGAGAGCCTGTGGGGGGGCTCAGTCATGTGAGGAGAAAGGCTCCCACTGAACCATTCTTCCCCCACACCTCAGCTTCCCCCTACCCAGCCTCCAGGGCAGTCACCTCATCGGGCCTGCTGTGAGGGAAGGGTGCTGTGCTTGTCCTGCCCAGGCCCCCCCCCCCAGAGTGAGGGCTCCCCAAAGGGCCTGCCAAATGTGGGCAGACATAGGGCCCTGCCCCCACTTCTCTACCCAAAGGTCCAGACACTGCCCCAGTGAGGGGGCCTGAGGCATGTAGATTCCCAGCTACTAAAAGAGAATGTGCCCCCAGGAGAACAGGAAAGGCAGCCGCAGAGACCTCTGCCTCCTCAGGAATCGTTGGGCTCTGGGGAATGGCACTGGATCTCACCCCACTTCTATACCAGCTTAGAAAACATGTCCACTTACCTGTGAGGCTGGCTTTCCAGATTCTCTTCCCCAGGGCCTGCATAAAAGCACAGCCACCAGTCAAGGGACAGGGCCTCAGGCAGGAGCAGCGATGACCTCAGGATGCCAGGAATGAGCCCAGTCCAGCGCCCTCCCACCTGGTCCTCTGGCCAAGGCCAGAGTGGCCTGAGGCAGGTGCCTTGTCGGTCTGGCTCCCCATCGTCCAAAGACTGCTGAAGTTGTAGCAGGCCATAGAGGAGGCCTACACAAATGCATTGGTGATTGGCTGTTTCCTCACTTGGGCTCCTGTGAGGAGGCAGTGATCTTCGCAGGTGCCTCAGCCCACAAATGACACAGTGCAGAAAGCTGGTAAGATGCAAATTTGCTGGGGAGCCAACTCCAGACTGCCACCATGTCACTCCCTCACAGCCTGTGCCATCTTGCTGCTCCCATTCACACGTGACTGGTTTAAAAAGAAGAAAAAAGGGAGCGTTAATAATGTCAGTCAACTTAGCTACAGGGCACCAACTTGTCCTGAAATTTCATCAGGCTGTTTCATTTGTTTGTGTGTTTATTCACTCATTCAAGATGGAGTAACAGGGGCCCTAAACAACAAGAAAGCTGGACAAGAGATGATGTGATGGTTTTCAGTCACTGGATAAGTACAGGACAGTGATCCCAGGGAGAAGGGACACCAACACACTAGGTCCTATGATTTTTGTGTGTTTGTGGCAGGGGGGAGGGGGGCGGTGTTGCACCGTGCAGCTTGTGGGATCTTAGTTCCCCGACCAGGACTGAACCTGGGCCCACAGCAATGACAGCGCCAAGTCCTAACCACTGGACCGCCAGGGAACTCTGGGCCCTATGACTGACCAGCCATAGCTGAAGCAGTTTCTAGGCTACAGTGCAGGGAAGGGAAACTCAGACCTGGCTGTCTCCTGAGTGCACGAGACACTGAGGAGGTCAGGGAGGCCCAGGTGGCTAGAATGTGTACAGCAAAATGTTGGGGAGCAGGGGGCTGTACAGAAAGCAGAGCTCCAGGATCCGAAGAGGATTCCCTCATGTCTTCAGCTAAGGACAAGTCTGTACCTGTGTAAGAAAAACTATGTGAGGAGGCTGGGGCAAGAACCCCTGGAAAGGAGCAGACAGAACAATCCCCAGAGCTCACACAGGAAGGGAATAAACTGTGTTCCCACAAGCCACCATGGAAAGACTTCCTCATTCACAGGGTATTGGGTAGAATCCTCAGACGGGCATCACCCCTAGTAATGAGGCTAAATTAGCTGTAGACCAAAGGCAGCTCTGGACTACCCTAACTCAGCTCGGGAGCAATCCTCTAAAGGATCAACTGATGCCAAGGAACTTAACTGGGTGCCATACCAAGATTAATACTATTTGAAGGAATACAACAAAACCCAGCAACCAACAACATAAATTTACAATGTCTAGTAGCCAGTAAGGAAATTGCCAGGTCTATCGATCAGGGTACAGCCAGGGGACAGATACCACATGATATTTTAAACAAGGGAAGTTTATTATAAAGAATTAACTATTTAGAGGGAATTAACTAAAAGGAACCAAAAGAGAACCCTACAGAATACCCTAGGGTGAAGGGAAGTATACAAGAGAACGACTCAGAGCTGCGAGATCACAGCTCACTGGATGGTGAAGTTTACTGGGCTGTCCCAGGCCAAGGCTGGGAACTGAAAGCCACCTGAGAGGGTGCCAACAGAATTAGCTGGGAAGCTGTCTGCAGAGAGTGCTAGGAAGTCACCAGGGTGGAGGTGCTGATGAACTCACTAGAGAGCTGCCAGGAGGCCAGCTGGGTTACCCATGGAACTTGCCTGGGTTCCATGCAAGTGCCTACCCCCTTCCAAATATATAAAGAGCCTCATCGCTGGCACCCAGGCCAGTGCTGCTGAATTTGCAGCTAGGAAGCTGCCTGAGAAGGTGCCACAGAAATTCACCGGGGGTGAGCTAATGTCACAAAACAGGAATGAGCAAAGCACAAAGAACCAGAATGACAGGCCCTTTCTCCTCCAGCGCCCTCCACTGACAAAGGTTAGTATCAGGCTAGCTGGCAAGGGAGGAATGTTCCAGCATCACAAGCCGGCAATGAAGGGTGGATTGACAACTGCTATACCAGGCATGTGAAAACAGAAGAAAATATGACTTATGACCATAAGAAAAAGCAATCAATAGCAACTGACCTAGAAGTGACAGATATAAAGGAATTATCGGACAAGGACAATAAAACAGATATTATAAACATGCTTCATAAATTCAGGAAAGTAGAGGGAAACATGAGCATAATGAGAAATGGAAGCTATAAAAAGACCTAAATGGAACTTCTAGAGATGGTATAAATATCTGAAATGCAAAAACACACAGTATGGGATGAACATCAGATCAACACTGAAAAAGATCACACAACTCAGGACTTCCATGGTGGTGCAGTGGTTAAGAATCCGCCTACCAATGGAGGGAATACAGGTTCAAGCCCGGGTCTGGGAAGATGCCACATGCCGTGGAGCAACTAAGCCCATGTGCCACAACTACTGAAGCCCACGTGCCTAGAGCCCGTGCTCCGCAACAAGAGAAGCCACTGCAGTGAGAAGCCTGTGCACCGCAACGAAGAGTAGCCCCCGCTTGCCGCAACTAGAGAAAGCCTGCACACAGCAACGAAGAAGACCTAACACAGCCAAAAATAAATAAATAAATTTATTTTTTTAAAAAAGAGGGGCATTACATAATAATAAATGGGCCAACTCTTCAAGAAGACATAATAATCCTTAATGTGTATGTACCTAATAACAGAGCTTCAAAATACATGAAGGAAAAACTGATAGAACTGCAAAAAGAGACAGATGAATCCACTATTATAGCTGCAGACGTCAACACCCCTATGACAGAAATGGACACATCCAAGAGGCAGAAAAGGACATAGCTGAACTCAACAAAACCATCAATCAACCGGATATAATAGACATCTATAGACTACTTCATGCAGAAGAATATTCACTCTTCTCAAGTTCACATGGAATATTCACTGAGACAGACAACATTCTGGGCGATAAAACATACGTTAACACATTTAAAAGAACAGACATCATACAATGTATGCTCTCAGTCCACAACAGAATTAAATAAGAAATCAGTAACAGAAAAGGAGCTGGAAAATCCCCAGACACCTGGAGATTACATAACACATTCCCAAATAACACATAGATCAAAGGAGAAATTAAGAAATGTTTTGAACTAAATGAAAATGAAAATACAACTTATCAAAATTTGTGAGATGCAGCGAAAACAGTGCTTAGAAGGAAATTAATGGCATTGAATGCATGTATTAGAAAAGAAAAAATATCTGAACTCAATAATCTAAGCATCCACTTCAGGAAACTAAAAAAAGAAGAGCATATTAGTTCCAAAGTAAGCAGAAGAAAAGAAATAATGAAAATTAGAGGAGAAATCAATGAAGTTGAAAACAAGAAAGAGAGAAAATCAAGGAACCAAAAGATAGTTCTTTGAAAAGATCATCAGTAAACCACTAGCCGAGCTAAGAAAAAAAAGAGAGAGGACACATTATTACTAATATCCAAAATGAAAAGGGGACATGACTGCGGATCCCATGGGCATTAAAAAGATAATAAAGGAATACTATGAACAACTCTATGCCCACAAATGTAATAACTTAGAGCAGGGGTCCCCAACCCCCAGGCCACGGACCGGTACCAGTCTGCAGCCTGTTAGGAACCGGGCTGCACAGTAGGAGGTGAGCGGCGGGCAGGCAGGTGGGCAGGCAGGCGGGTGGGCTAGCGAGCAAGCGAAGCTTCATCTGCCGCTCTGCATCGCTCCCCATCGCTTGCATTACCACCTGAACCAACCCTCCCTCCCCACCCCATCCGTGGAAAAACTGTCTTCCACGAAACTGGTCCCTGGTGCCAAAAAGGTTGGGGACCGCTGACTTAACAGGAAATGAACCAATCCTTGAAAGCACAATCTGCCAAAACTCACACAAACAGAAAGAGACAATCTGAGTAGGCCTAGATCTACCGAAGAAATGAACAAATAACCTTCCAAAACAGAAAGCATCAGTCCCAGATGCGTTCACTGGTAAATTCTACCAAATATTTAACAAGAAATTACACCAATTTTCGTCTCTTTCAGAAGGTAGAAGCAGAGGGAATACTTGCTAACTTATTCTGTGACATCAGCATCACTCTAATACCAAAACACATTACAAGAAAAGAAAGTACAAATTAATCTCTCTCATGAACATAGATACAAAAACGTTCAACAAAATATAAACAATTAAAATCCAGGGACTTTCTTGGTGGCGCAGTGGTTAAAAATCCACCTGCCAATGCAGGGGACACGTGTTCAATCCCTGGTCAGGGAAGATCCCACATGCCGCGGAGCAACTAAGCCCGTGCACCACAACTACTGAGCTTGCGCTCTAGAGCCTGCGTGCCACAACTACCGAAGCCCGTGCACCTAGAGCCTGTGCTCCACAACAAGAGAAGCCACCTCAATGAGAAGCCTGCACACCGCAACGAAGAATAGCCCCCACTCGCCACAACTAGAGAAGAGACCACGCGCAGCAACAAAGACCCAACGCAGCCAAAAATAAATTTTAAAAAGTAAAATAAAATAAAATCCAAACACTGTATAAAAAGAATTACATATCATGACCAAGTGGAATTTACTCCAGGTATGAAAGGCTCGCTCAACATTCAATAATCAAGTAAGATAAATTCTCACACTGACAGGCCAAAGAAGAAAAATCACATGATCATAACAACACACATTAAAAAAAAGCATTTCACAAAATTCTATACTTTTTAAAAAACCATAAAAACTCAGCAAACTAAGAATAGAGAGGAACTTCCTTAATATGATAAAGATTATGCACAAAAAAACCTACAGGTTGGGACTTCCCTGGTGGTCCAGGGGCTAAGACTCCGTGCTCCCAATGCAGGGGGCCCGGGTTCGATCCCTGGTCAGGGAACTAGATCCCACATGCCACAACCAAGAGTTTGCATGCCGCAACTAAAGATCCTGCATGCCACAACGAAGACCCGGAGCAGCCAAATAAATAAATATTAAAAAAACAGAAACAGGGGCTTCCCTGGTGGCTCAGTGGTTGAGAGTCTGCCTGCCAATGCAGAGGACATGGGATCGTGGCCCAGTCTGGGAAGATCCCACATCCCGCAGAGCGGCTGGGCCTGTGAGCAATGGCCGCTGAGCCTGCACGTCCGGAGCCTGTGCTCTGCAGCGGGAGAGGCCACAATGGTGAGCGGCCTGCGCACTGCAAAAACAAACAAAAACAAAAAACGTACAGGTAAGGAGTGACATCAGCAAAATGGAGGACTAGGAAGCTCTAAGCCCTTGTTCCCACAGAGACAACAAAAAACAATCCAAAATTGGCTGAACTAACTTTACAGGAGATCTGGAGAACAGTCAAACGTCTATAGCAGCCAAATGAATGTGCAATCAATGCCTACCCGCCTTGGCATGGCAGTGTCTTGGTCTAGAGGAGGCAGCAGACCAGTTCCCAGTTCCCTCTCTCAAATCAGAGGGAGCAGAGCTGACCTTATTTGCAATGATCTAACCAGTCTTGGGACTATTGAAGGACTGATCTCTGTCCACCTAACTTGAATCTCAGGCAGAGAAAATCAACAGGCACTAATCATGAAGGCTACAAGGATTTCAGACTCTGAGATGCCTTGAGCATTATGAGTGAAGACATATAACAGATAACCTAAGGCCACAAACGGAAGCTGGAGATGAGACTCCTGGGAAGATAAGACATTCAAAAACAGCTGTGTATAAAGAGGAAATGAAAAAAGCCACACACAGACCCAGGCAAAACAAATCCTCAGAAATGACCTTAAGCTTTCACCTGGGCTGATCCCTACGCTCAAAGCAAGTCCAGTCAATCAGTGAAGGAGTGCCCAGGCACAACAGAGCCAGTCTGCAAGGACAGGGAAAGGTGGTTGTTTTTTTTCAAATACCTAATTTTCAACAAAAACAATAAAAGGCAAACAAAGAAATAGGATAACATGGTTCATCCAAAGAACAATATAAACTGGCAAAAACTATCCCTGAGGAAGCACAAACATCAGATTTACCAGATAAAGACTTTCTAACAGCTGTCTTAAATATGCTCAAAGAGCTAAAGGAAAACACAAAGAGGGAAAGCAAATCTGGAAAATGATATTATGAACAAAATGAGAATATCTACAAAGAGAGAAATTATAAGGAAGAATCAAACAAAATTCTGGAGCTGAAAAATATAATAAATGAATGAGAAAATTCATAGAGAGGTTCAACAGCAGATTTGAGCAGGCTGACGAAAGAATCAGAGAACTTGAAGACACATGAAATTATTGAGTCTGAAGATCAGAAAGAAAAAAGAATGAAGGAAAGTGAACAGATGGACTTCCCTAGTGGTGCAGTGGTTAAGAATCCGCCTGCCAATGAAGGGGACATGGGTTCGATCCCTAGTCTGGGAAGATCCCACATGCCACGGAGCAACTAAGCCCGTGCACCACAACTACTGAGCCCGCGCTCTACAGCCTGTGAACCACAACTACTGAAGCCCGAGCACGCTAGAGACTGCGCACTGCAACTGCTGAGCCCATGCTTGCAACTACTGAAGCCCCACGCACTCTAGGGCCCGCATGCCGCAACTACTGAAGCCCATGCGCCTAGAGCCCGTGCTCTGCAACAAGAGAAGCCACTGCAATGAGAATCCCGTGCACTGCAACAGAGTGTCCCTTGCTCGCCACAACTAGAGAAAGCCCGTGCGCAGCAATGAAAACCCAACGCAGCCCAAAAGAAATAAGTTCATTAAAAAAAAGAAAGATATCAAAGCAATAGACTAACTTTACACCTTAAGGAAATGAGAAAAGCAAACTAAACCCAAAGCTAGCTGGAGGAAGGAAATAAAGAATACAGTGGTAATAGAGAAAAACAAAACAACAGAGACCAGTTGTACTTCTATACACTAACAATGAACAATCCTAAAATGAAATTAAGAAAACAATCCCATTTACAATAGCATCAAAAAGATTTAAAATACTTGGGAATATGGGGACTTCCCTGATGGCACAGTGGTTAAGAATCTGCCTGCTGATGCAGGAGATATGGGTTCGGTCCCTGGTCCAGGAAGATTCCACATGCCGCGGAGCAACTGAGCCCGTGTGCCACAACTACTGAGCCCATGCTCTAGAGCCCACAAGCCACAACTACTGAGCACACGTGCCACAACTACTGAAGCCCACGCACCTAGAGCCTGTGTTCCGCAACAAGAGAAGCCACCACAATGAGAAGCCCACGCACCACAACGAAGAGTAGCCCCCACTCGCCACAACTAGAAAAAGCCCACACACAGCAACGAAGACCCAACGCAGCCAAAAACAAGTAAATAAAATAAATAATTTTTAAAAAATACTTGGGAATAAACTTAATCAAGGAGGTAAAAGACTTATAAACTGAAAAATACAAATCATTGCTGAAAGGAATTTAAAAA